AGTTGAGTGTTCGGCAAAAACGACAACGACTGTTTTTGCGCTAGTTCGAGGGACTTTGCATGGTCGTATGCAGTTTTAAAATCCAGCGACTTATGTTCCAGCAGTCTCTGGCGTATAGTATTGGAATAAAGTCCACTAATGAATGCGTCTCGTAACGCTTCATCGGTATGCTGTTCTGCACTGACGGCTGTAAAGCGACAGTTTGGCAACAAACTGCAAAGATTCTGCATAAACTGATCAAGATTCTGAGCTCCGTCCTGCTTACAAGTGTTCAAAAGATGCCGGGCGAAAACTTCATTTTTCGGCTATACGTAAATTTCTCGCAAGGTTTTGATGGCTTATTCATAGTATTTGCAGTCTTCGATGAATCGGTAAACACTAGGGGAGATGTAATTAAACAAGGTTTTAAGTTTATCTGGTGAATTAGAACCGATTGACTCTAGGAAGTTTGTGAAAGTACAAAACCAATGCCCCCAGGGATCTGCCAAGTCTTGAGTATTGGGGTCCGTAATGAATCGTTCAGGACGTAAGAATCGATCCATTGTTCGAAGAAGACTTTTTTGGATGAATAAATTGTTGTGTACGACGAGGGTCAGAGTGCAACGACAATCAGAATGACAATGGAAAAGACTGAGGGCCCGAAAGCTAGGCTTTATTCATCCAAAACTTTGACACTGAGAGCTGAAAACGGAAGAAAGTGATTTAGCAATAAATGATGAAACGTTTGAAAAACAGAGCAAATATACAACATCGGGCTTTATAGTGTTCGACTTGTTTACACGCGTTGATTAAATTTGTGCTTTTTTGTTCGTGGTCAACCGAATGTTCGCCTATTTTTTTAGGTTATAGCTTATCTGGTTCACCACCAACGGATCATTTGATCAAATCGAATCACAGCTCGAGAGCGATGGATGCGAGGCGTAGATCTTCGACATCGCCTGGCGGTGGAGGTGCGAATGCTACCACCGACCCAGATAACCAGTCTTCGGCGTCTATCGATTTGAAGTCTCATAGCTCGTACGACGAAGGTGACACACCCATACCCCTTTCGTTTTGGCTGAAGTCCATCTCGCTATTTTTCCTTTTGACTCTGATGTCTTCTTCCGTATATCGCCCATGTTTGTCAAGCACCGACAGGAATGTGACCCCTGCTCCACATCAGTTCATTGGAGCCAATGCAAGACGTCACCTGCAGAAAGTTACTTTCCTCGGATCCAGAACCTCAGGGTCGCTTGCTAATGAAGTCCTTGCTCCGGAATACCTCCTCAGTGAACTGTATGACATTGCGCGGTTAGGCAAGAGCAACGGAGCCGATATCTTCGTTGATGAACAATTATCTTCTGCTGCCTCGTTCCGAACGGGTTATGCTGTACAAAGTTACAAAAATGTGAAAAACCTATTAATTCGCTTCCATAACTCGTCCTTATCAAATCACACAACTGCCTTCCTTGTTAACTGCCACTATGATTCTTTTCTTGGAAGTCCAGGAGCCACAGATACCTTCGTCAATTGTGCCATCTTGCTTGAAGCAGGACGAGCAATTGCAACGGGCAAAGTTCAGTTAGTGAACGATCTTATTTTTCTCTTTAACGGTGCTGAAGAAAGTGGCCTTTTGACAAGTCACGCTTTTGTAACCCAGCACCGCTGGTCTAATGATGTGAAATCATTTTTAAACTTGGAGGGAACTGGTGCTGGTGGTCGCCTGTTTGTCTTTCAGTCCAGCTCTGATGAAAGTTCGCAATTACTTCTCGGCACCTACGAAAGTTGTTTTCATTACCCATATGCGGATGTGTTTGGTGAAGAGATCTTCCAGTCAGGGCTTATCCCTTCGGATACTGACTTTAGGATTTTTCGTGATTTCGGGTTTGTACCTGGGCTGGATATGGCCTATGTTCGAGACGGCTACGCTTATCATACACCTTTCGATACCGAAGCACGCATTTCAGAGGAATGCCTGCAGCAAAACGGAGAGGAAATCTTACGGTTCTTGTCGGCGGTTGGTGGAGATAAGCGATTAGAATCAGTTTCTAAGTTGAAGTCAGTCAACGATACAGGCTTGCCATCATCTGGCCCCCCTCTGAACGAGTTATCGTCTACTAAGATTTCACGATCTCAGCTTCCAAAACCTAAAGTACAGACCTCTGCCCACCATCGTCACGTGTATTTTGATATTCTGGGGATCAAGCTGTTCGTTGTGAGCTGGACACGATGGAAGCTCTTCAATTGGTTCATTTCCCTCCTTGTTTGTTGTCGCTTGTGTTTCATACGAGGATCCCTTCCATCACGTTGGGTCGGTTTGGGGATTTCCCTTGTGCTTCATTGTCTAAGTCAGGCTCTTGGTTTAATTTTTTCTCTACTGTTGGGTTTTGTTGTGCACAGCTTTGGATTTCGCATGTCTTGGTACTCGAATCAATACAATGTTGTCGGTTTATATATCCTACCTCTCTTGTGTTGGTTTATTTGCTATTCAACTTGGTTCTTCCACACATTACATCGTCACAATGGTTTGCTCCGTAAGATCTGTGCATATGCTAAGTGGTCGGTTACAGGGGATCGACGGTGGAATTACGCTCTTATTGAAGCAGATTTCTTCGATGCTGCCACCCTGTTGCTGACTGTTTTGGTAAGTGTACTGACTGTTCTTGATCGACCGGCAGTTTTTTTGTTCACCTTGTGGCTTACTTCGACGGTGCTGGGTAGATTCACGTACAAGTTTATCTTTTCCGGCTCAACTTTCTCCTCTTTATCCAATTTCCTTCTAACCCTGATGCCCACACTTACCTTATGGCATGTATATTTCAGCAGAACCATATTAGAATTCTTCATCCCGGTGTTTGGGCGATCTGGGCATTTAGTTCGTCAAGATGTCTTGATGAGTGGCTTCGTTTTTTTCTGTGTTGCTCCAGTTGCATTGTTCATCCTTGGCCCACTACACTGCTCATCAACCAACTGTGGAAAGACACTCCGCCTCCTGTTTTTAAATGCTTGCGTTACATATGCTGTGCTTGTACACTCCTCTTCGTACGGCTTCCCATATACATTCACCACCGGAGGGAATATAAATGATTCTTCTGTTAGTCCCCGCTTTCAGCGGCTCTCTGTTTTCCACATCGATCGTACATTTCATGGTTCACTTGGATCCAAAGAGTTGGAAGGCCAGGAAAGTTTTATCACCATTTTAGCGTGGGATGGCAACGGAATACAATATCTGAAACCCCAAACTGGTTTGAAGTTTTTGGATGACAACGAGAACGGAAAGCCCAACGGTTTGAGGGAGTTACTTGAGGCAACACCTGCTTACTGCAACTTTTCTCTTCCCTATTGTGGCATTCCTTTTTTCCGCCCATTATTCCACTTTTTTACGGACTTTTATCATATCCCGGCTAAACAACATGGGTCGAAGCCAGTGGCTCAACTTGATGTGATTTCTCGAATACCCTTGGCTAGTTCTCAACTCCAAAGTGGCCGAGTTGCCTGGAATTTTACATTTTCGCTGCGGCCTGGTCCTCCACAGACACCATTGGCACTTCGTTTTGACGTACCTCACGTGCGATTGTTGAACTGGTCTTTCGCGGTAGATACATCTGTTCCGGTGCCGGTGCCACTCACGAAATCTCCATCCGATCCTCATGTGGAATCCGTCGGAGCTCATTATTTTCTTGACTTCATCGATGCGCGTGCCTCCATTTCTTTACCCGTCGAACCCTGGGTCTTCTGGCTTGTGATTGACAGACCATCGGATATGGAGTCTTCTCATTTTGACATTGCTGTTATGGGGACGTATCTTGATACAAAATTACCGTCATGCGTGTCCGCTCAACTAGACGATGTGGTGTCGAGATTACCGCCATGGATTTCGCTCAGCTCAGGCTGCGCGTCCTACGATCACTATCGAGTTGGGTTGAGTTGATTCTCCAACACAGCACATATCAATTTGAAAAATTTCAGTGTTTTGCTTTGATTCACATACAGCGGACTTTATGTATATTTCTCTGTTTTCTCTTGTTAAAATTTACTGACCCTTTGTGTTGTGTGACGGCATTTTCGAATCCTAGTTCAGCACATTAGACTGACTGTATAACAAGGATTTTAGCTTCCGTAGATTCGTGAACGAAGGATAGAGTAAAACAGTGGCAGCCACGTGGTATAAGCGACGATCTAACTAGTTTATCGTCAATTTGTTTGCTACACGATAATATTGGGATGGAAATTCGAATACTTGCACGTGGGTTTTGTTGACCTTGTTGTTTCTTTACCATTCTCATAAACTTCAACACGAGTATCGAACAGAGACGAAACGCTTGGGTGCTGTCGGTGCTACTCGCCTTCCAGGATGGGGACCGCGTGATCCTCACTGTGCCTGGTTGGAGACACTACAAGATATGGCTGCCAACCGATGTCAGTGGCGTTCTTGTTGTCAGTTTCTATCCAGATTGCCTGAGTGAATGTCTGGAGGTGTAGGCACCTCGGAATGATTGTGTTAAGCTAGCACTAAGTCCCTCCCCCATCCACCTTTATTCTTTTCTTTACAATAAGGCTTTCAAATAAATCATGGTTGTACGGCAGTGAAGCATCGGTGTTGAGCACTGATGTCATGCTGTCGATGATGATGATGATGATCGAACGGGCGTGCTTTTTCACTATCATCATCGACAGGAAAGCATCAGTGTTCAGCCGCTGATGGTTCGCTGCCGAACAACCATAATTCATTTTAAAGCCTTAGTATGAAGAAAGTGGAAGTGGATGTGGAAGGGACTTGGTGTTAGCCGACCACAATAAGCTTTAGGTGCTTACACCTGCAGACTGAATAGAAACTGACAACGAGAATGCTACTGACATCGACTAGCAGTCATATGTTTCAGCGTTTCCATCCATAAACAATAGGGATCACGCGAAACCAATCCTGGAAGTCGAGTCGTTATGCCAGTATACGGACTGGGTGTTTTTCTCTGCTAAAACGGGTGCTCTCAGTTAGCATCACATCATGCTTACACGCTCAGACTATCAGACGGGCCGCAGTAGCTCCAAGCACTGTGTCTCGCTATGCGCCAATATTGAGGGTCCGAATTCATTGTTTTCCTCCCGTAGAGAACCACAATTCTCTGTTTCGAATTTGTAGGATTCTTTCAGACATGAGCTCCGGATATGTACGCTGAGAAGATCCGTTGTCCTGCGTAAGGACCTATTGGTTCAAGCCTAAGATAGGTACATAAAAGAAGCATTCTACCTCAGATTGGCCGACGGAGCGATTTAATTTATCCTCCCATCCTTTCATCTCTTTAGCAACAATATTAAGCACAATCAGGTTTAAAGTAATCTGAACGAACATCCTAGCCAGCATACTCGGACTGTGTGATTTGGGTATAAGTCTTGTGCTCCGCAGTTTTCCGTGTCTGGTTTGTGTGCGAGTAATTTATTTTCATTACTAACAGCTTTTGGTAACCCCAGGCGGTACAAAATAAGTAGCGTCTAATCGGAGATCGTTTAACCCATTTAATTTTTTTCGTGCGATGTGGCGTTTTCTTTTTTTCGAACGACTCTGGTGAACACGTCGCCCTCAATCTCATAAGTTGGAGCCTAATGAATAAGCAACCGTTTGATATCTTCAGCTGCTCTATTTGCATTTAGATGTCATAACCGTCATTGTCTCAGTGGACAGGGAGGCTGTTTTTAACAAAACAACACTGTAGTTCGCGCATCCAACATCGGGAGCTGGCCTCTGTTCCTTCGTATAAAAGATTAGGATAATCGTTCAGCTGTGACACTCATCCGGCGCCTAGCTGCCATGCCACCCAGCGCAAGCACGAGTGCAGGGATACTACAAGGTTGCCCATGCCTAGACAGAAGTCGAGATGCAGAGGTTGGGTTCGAGCTACGGACCTTCACGCTCTGAGCCATCTTGCCCCCTCTTATGTTATTAAGCTGACCAATTTACTTTAGCCCGATCGAGGACCCTTGAAACATACTACCGCATCATCTGTACAAAGTCGCAAACATCTATGGCTTTAATGATCTGTGGTGACTTGGAACAAATGCATCGCAACGCAAGTTGTAGTTGAGTTTGAGGTGATATGAACAGAAGGCTTTTTCGATTATGGTCCTACTGTTTTGTCGTACCGGCCTTAACTTTTTCCTTATGTTATGCTAGTTCCTGTAAATTTCCCGTTTTTTTCCGATAGTGTCTATCTCTTGCTGATCAAAAGTCTTCCCGTTTGATCCATCAGTAATATGGTCATGGTGTTAAAATATGAGTGACGTGATTTTCTGCGGGGGCAAAACTGTCATAAAACATGTAAAAAGCCCGGGGCCGCAATACTGCTAGCCGCTCCATTGAGGGTTTTGAGACTGCCATTGCTTCGAGCTCTTTACAGAACAATGGGATTATTCCTTTCAGCGTGTGCTTATGAAAAGCCCTCCAACCTTTTCTACCACTATTATCATTATTATTGTACGTTGTTTTATGAAAAGGGAAACTTCACCTTGGGCGGTCTCATTTAAAGATAAAAGAACTAAAGTAAACCCCTGCAAAACTTCAGTGAAAAGCAAGAAGTAGCACGTGTAGGATGAAGTCAGGGTTAGACCGATAGGCTTCAATCCGAGTTTTGACTCAGTCAAGATCATGAGACGATGAGCGGACAATCATAGTGAGAGTGTTCCAGTATCGTCCCAAGAGAAATTCTATGCGGTAACGCTGGACTTTCAGCCGGTCTTAGGACCGAACACAACGTTTACGACTGGTTGATTTGAGATGTAGAGCAGGAAATTCTCGTTCGACAGAGTACGTGACGTGATAATAGTGATGGAGTTAAGTGGGAGAGGCTCCGACTTGGGAGTGAAAAAAGGGCAAAAAAGGCAAGGAGGTGACAAAACTTACCTCGACATTAGCCTGATGGCAAAAGATAGACGAAGGAAACTCCACCCCGGACTTTGCACCTACAAAGTGTAAGGTCAGGCTCGTTAACGTGCTGTCACTGAACACGCCACTTACAATCCAGGCAGAGGTACTGGAAGTTGTGGAGCTTTTTATGTATCTTGGAAGTTGTATTAGTTCTGATTATAGTGTGACAGATGAGGTGAATGCGCGAATCTGCAAGGCTCGGGCCGCGTTTGGTAACTTGAGACACCTATGGCGTCAGAATGGTTTATCCCTGAATCTGAAGGGACGTGTGTATCAAGCTACAGTACGGGCTGTTTTGTTGTATGGCT